TTCGGTAGCCACCGGATTTCATCTCTGCTTTTTGCAGATGATGTGGTGTTGTTGGCTTCTTCGAACCAGGACCTGCAGCATGCACTGGGGCGGTTTGCAGTAGAGTGTAACGCAGCTGGGATGAAAATTAGCACCTCTAAGTCCGAGGCCATGGTTCTCGACCGGAAAAAGGTGGTATGCACCCTTCGGGTCGGGGATGAAGTCCTGCCTCAGGTGGAGGAGTTCAAATATCTGGGGGTCTTGTTCACGAGTGACGGTAGAATCGAGCGTGAGATTGACAGGCGGATCGGTGCTGCGGCCGCAGTAATGCGGTCGCTGTATCGGTCCGTTGTGGTGAAGAAGGAGCTGAGCCGAAAAGCGAAGCTCTCAATTTACCGGTCAATCTACGTTCCTACCCTCACCTATGGTCATGAGTTGTGGGTCATGACCGAAAGAACGAGATCAAGGATTCAAGCGGCTGAAATGAGCTTTCTCCGCAGGGTGGCAGAGCGCTCCCTTAGAGATAGGGTGCTCCTCCACATCGAGAGGAGTCAGCTGAGGTGGCTTGGGCATTTACATCGCATGCCCCCCGAACGCCTCCCTCGGGAGGTGCTCGTGTGCCGTCCCTCTGGGAAGAGACCTAGGGGAAGACCTAGGACATGCTGGAGCGACTACGTCGCTCGGCTGGCCTGGGAACGCCTTGGGGTCCCCCCAGAAGAGCTGGAGGAAGTGTCGAGGGAGAGGGAAGTCTGGGTGTCCCTGCTCAGACTGTTGCCCCCGCGACCCGGCCCCGGATAAGCGGTTGAAGATGGATGGATGGATGGATAGTTACTAGAAATGTCATGTTAATACCAGGGTCATTTAACTGATGTGTGTCAGCAGCATATGGACTGATTCTGTCCTGTCTCTGTGATGATTGTAATAAAAGGTTTGTGTGAAGAGCATCATTCACTGACATGCAGTCAGCTGCTGCAGAGACAGGGCTACAATAACAATTTTTTTAATGGATGGATATTCTTTTCAGTTAGTCAGCAACATAAATGGCACATAGCATGCAAGGAAGTTGAAAAGTGCACACGGAAGCATCTCTAGTTGACTGAGGGTCATATTTAGAAAAAGACACCAGACTTCCCTGCCAATTACTTTCTTTTCCTGCAAGCTGTGGAGTAACAGAAGGAAGCATGAAAACTCTATAGACAAAGACCATCTACTCAGGTAAGGGGTTTGACATCACAAATTTGTAGCGACCCCAGAGACTTTATTCACATGATTGCAACTTTTATACCGTAAATATAATAATAATAAAAAAATGCATTATTACTAGTGGCGCTTTGGCCCAGAGGCAATGTCTCTGTCATTGGTGTGGAACCCCAGGGTTCACCTCCTGGGCAAGTTCGAATCCCGGTTAGGGCGGTTGGTACCTTCCAGTGGACTCACCACCCGCAGGAAGGTTTGGTACGGTGCAGTGTGATTTGGGTGGCGACTGCTGCCCCCGTGACCCGGTAACGGATAAGCGGATGAAAATGGATGGATGGATGGCATTATTACTAGACATTTTAGGGGACCTCATTTGAATTCTAGATGACTCCACATGGGATGGTGACCCAGAGTTTGGAAAAATGACTTAAGTGGTGGTGCAAACGAGCACTTTTTTGCAACAGTGGTAAAATACTTATGACCACACCACCATGCAGTCCAACACTAGACAATAAAAACCCAAATGGTGAACACATTGCATAACTTTTAAACCTAGTTATTTTATTTATTAGAACCAGACATGTGCTAACTGGGGCTTTTAGACTAATTGAATGTGTTGACTTGAACAAGAACCCTACTTGTTGGGAAACTGGCATTGGGTTGGTAAAGGAGGATCCAGGCTTTTTAGTAAAGTCCACCCATTCTGAACCAGAGGCAGCAGAGAAACAAAGGGTAACGAAGGGTGACTTTGCACCATGTTGTTAAACTGGCACTGTTTCCTCACCTTCAGAATGAATGAATTCACTCTCAAGCTCCTTAATGCCAAGATTTTCTTTTTAAAGGAAAAAAGAAAAAGTTGTTTTTCCGCTGCCTGTGGTGACGCAGCTGAACCCTCACACTGAAATCAAACACACCCACACCACCATTTCCACCCTCAATAAATCTGCAGCTAATGCTACACTACATTGAGGTCTGTCACACAGTCCATCTCATTAGCATCCTGACCAGATGACGTCATCACATTTAAAATAACAGGTTTACAAAAGTTGTCAGCTGCTCATGCCTTTAAATTATGGAAATTAATTAAAAAATAGTACAGGAGGTCCTCGACTTACTTTAGAGTTCTGTTTCTACGACGTAAACCAACTGAAACCAACCTAGGGTTTGGGGACTTAGTGGTATTAAGCTAGGATCCTTCTGGCAGGTGGGGGACATCTGCACTACTTAACTGTCAACAGGCTGCCACACAGGGAGCACCATCTTTAATTGTTATGTGGTCTCTGTGGGGCTTTCAGGGTTTTCTGTGTAGGGCAAAGAAAATGCATGTGTGATATGCAAGGCAGGCGTTGATAACTGATAAAAACTGGATGAATCCTAGTGACAAAATTTAAAGAAATGACCATTTTCTGTGGTTTACAGTTACTAAAAACAGTCTGATTGTAAGTCATATTAGGTCATAATACTTTCGTTACTGTAGCTCATATCTTTTTTTGTCACCTTTTTGCAAGTCAATGTAGCATTAAATCATTTTTTGACACAAAAATTGACCATCATCTGAATGACCAGGGCTTGAAATGAAAGTGGAATCTGAACTAGATGGGGTTGGCTCCTCTAAGCTAGGTACAAACGTATTGTGGGGAGGGTGCAGTGAGACATTAATTTGTGACACAGTGGGGAAAATCTACTTGTTTGTAATTGTATTTTCTTTATTTGTTCTGACCAGCAGTTTTATAGGAATGAGCCTCTTCTAAATAAAGATCAGTGGAAGAGCTTTGAAGTCATAGCTGTGACTCTGTACATGGGAAGGTGTACTGCAATTTAAGTAACCTAAACTATCACTTTCAGAGTGGTGAACTGAAAGGCTTTTATCTACCTCCTGCTCGGTGTCCCGTGATAATTATGGGATGTTAATTGCATTATTTGTCACCTGATCCTACGATATTAAAGCTCCTCATCTCTACTATTTTCCTGCAAACCTACACCTTCCAGTCCAGTGCTGCGCTCAGGCCTGTTTGCCTTCAGTTTCAGCATACAGGAATAGTAGAGACAGATGGTACCACAAAGCCCAACAGTTTATTTGAAGCCCGGGCTCTGCATAGTCATTTAAGTGTGGTCTGATGGTAGCCTATGTTTTTGTCTATATCTGCCACAGATGTGGCTCTGCTCCACTCTCTGTCTGTAGTTAAGCATGTAGAAGCAGGGTCAACCCAGATTCCTCACTTCAGCATATAAGCACTTTGTTATGAATGGGGCCCCTGAAGGACTGCAGCTATAGCTGGGCTTAAGACCATTAAGAACAACATGAACACTCAGAAGGTAGCGTTTCATAATTCTGCTAATCAAGGCCTTTTATTTTGGTTCTTTCTTTTATCCAGACAGACAGTGTATCATTTGACACAGAAATGAACAATGTAAGTTAATCAGTTCTCTTCAGGGTTTGTGTACAACCTTTTCTGACTACAAATGCTTATAAAAAGCACTAGAATTGCCACATTGTGTCTTTAAGACCAAAAGTCCCACTCTTCACATTTTTCCACAGACTTGTGTAACCTGCTCTTGTTGACTCAAACGGATATAATCTTGAAAAGGCAAAAACATGTTTTTCAGCCTCTAAATATACATTTTTACTCCATTTTAAAAAGGAATCATCAGTAGCCCATTTACTGACACAGCATTTACCCCAGCCTGCGTATTTTGAGGTCATTAGTGTCACAGACACTAGCAGGAAAAAAGCACTAACTTCACTGACACTGATACAGTAAACGTATGGGCTGAGTTTATACAGATTTATATCTGATTATTGCACGTTACAAAATATGGCTCAATCTAATACTCAGGAACATTGAAATTGAAATTGAATGAAATTAGAAAATACCCCAAAACGTGGTGGTTTTTTTTGGGGGGGCGGCGGGGTTGTTATTTCAAATGTTAAGTTTCATCATAGAATTTGGTGCGTGTTAGTTGTGCTTTCATTTTTTTAGGCAGACAAAGAAGCAGAAAACTGAAATTTTATAGTTTTTTTTTATCTGCTGCCTCATATCTTTAACAGGATCACTGAATGTTGATTTTTGCATGAACTTTCAAACGCCTCCCACACACGTTTCCCAACTGCCTTCCTTGCATTCCTACAAAACAGTTAATAAACATGTAGGAATAAACAGATTTTTTTTTCATTTTCTTGGTGTGACTGTGCTGCCTATCTGCATGCATGTGTGGGTACCACTTTTTGGAATTGAGGAAAAATACGTACAAACTGTATAATGTACGAAAACATCTCTATTGAGGTGTGTAAAGGACTTGCATTTGGATTTTTTGGTGACATTTTCCTGGATGTTTGGTGAATGCTTTCCATTCCTAGCAGTTAACTCAAAGCTGGAAAACACATCACACTCTCATACTGTCTGCCAACGACACCTGTTTTCCTTATTTTTAAAACATTTGGACCACAACAGTTTCAGGAGATGAAATGATTATGGGATTTTTCCAATTTATACACTTTAAGTACAGATTTTGATATTTATTTTTGACAAAAATGTCTGTAAATCAGATGGATGTGAGCCTGCCTTGATGCTAATATTTCTTTTCTTTTTTTAGATATTTACGGCCAAAAGTAGAGAGTCACCTTCAGGAGATTCGAAGTATTTACTCTGTGTAAAAGATACAAAACATCAATTATGGAAAAGCCATTTAACTCAGTCTGAAGTCTGGCAGACCAGTATTCCACTTCCTCATCATAAACAGCTTCAGCTAGAAATAATTTGATGGGTTTCCATCATCCTGCATCTCTGTAACATGTATACACAGGAAACAATTCAACATTGTTGACACTTCAGGCAGGTATTATGCTTCATTGTCAAATTATTTTGGTAATTTCTTTGTCCTCTACAAGTCTTTTGGTCATAGTTTGCAGTCAATAAGTAAACGTGCCTTTTAAAGAGCTAGTCAAAGTTCCAAGTAATAATAGTTTGAGCATGTTAACGGCGATGCATAGTTGATGACTAGTTTTAAGACTAGTTGGACAATGTGTGTGCTATGACTACATGTAACATGTTGTTTTGTTCTTTGCAGGTCGTGAACCAGTGCTGCAGACACCACAGCACACATGTCCTCTGTCAGTAATTCAACACTTTTTACTGCGGCACATCTGGAACCCACTGGTTAGTGTTTGCTCAGCTACTTTTACGGCTCTCCCCAAAGATGGATTTGGAACCATCATTTTACGCTGCCCCCTTTGCCTGCACTGACTTTTGGAAGAAGCATCAGTGTAGCTGCTGGTGAGAGTCCCATCAAAAGGCCCAGGATGCCAGGATGCCCATCACTCAGGACAACGCCCTCAGCATCCTACCTTTGCTGGAGGACTGGCAGGGGGAACAGAGCACAAGATCACAACAGGAGTGCAACCTGATCCAGGTCGTGTCCTGTCACAGGGTAGATCATTACATATGGCTGTAGTAATTACACAATTTAATCAGCATCCCAACATAATAATGTATATTTAAAGTATTTTCAGTTTATATGCGTAGATATATATTAAACATTTCCAATGAAGGGAGATCACTTTAGCATGGTCATTTTGAATAGTAGCTCTCAAGCCAAAGAAGCTTGGACACATCTCATGTAATAAAACAACTTCATCATGTTCTACATTTTGTGACCAAATGCCTAGTTGACTAAAATACTCAGGAGATTAATGACCTATTCATATTATTTATTGCTATTATAATCACTGAAAAAAAATCACTGCTCTCTCCTGCTCTTCCTCTAGCATGTGGATCAAGACTCCAACCAAAATGGAGAAAGGGACAGTGTGTGCAGCAGCAGCAGTGCTGTCAGTCTCAACACAGAGGACATGTCACTGTGTCTGGCTGCTATTCAGAAGTTGGTGGCATACATTAGGTTCAACTTCATGGAGGATGACGTCACCCTGTCAGTCAGCCCATCAGCCAGCCCATCCTCCTGCAGAGAGAACTTAGATCTGGAGGTACGTGCCTTATGCCTTAACAAAGATGAGGGGGACACCTCCGAGTTCGGCCTCAGCTTTGGGAATATTCCGATTTTTGGAGACCCTGATGGGAGAAAGAAGGGTGGACCAAGGAGGAGACGGGACCAGGGTCCTATCATGGACGTGGGCTGCATCTGGGTGACTGAGGTGAAGAAGAAAAGCCCAGCCTCCAGATGTGGGAATATCAAACTGAGAGATGAAGTGCTGTCACTGAACGGGCAGCTCATGGTGGGGGTAGATGTCAATGGGGCAAGGTAAGAAAAGAGCAGAGAAGAATTTACAGTTTCAGTATAAATGTCAAGTATTAAGACCAAACCAGACTTTCTTGGTCATACAAATGTACTTCAAAGTATAGATATTTATGTAAATAACTATTTATAAAGTATTTTAAAATATATACACATAATATAATTACAAAATTTGTATGGGTATCATATCTTTTGATAATCTCCTTAAAGTATTACTTATTGAAGCTTCAGTTTCTTAGGAGAAACATTTTTCCTTTCTTACTGAAAATTTGTTATTGCTCACCACAATTAGTCAATTCCATCCTGATGTCTCTGCTTATGTAAAGTGCTATGACGAAACAATTCCGATTAATTCCCCAGACCCTGCAGTTAAGTGAAGGCCAAGTAAGAGCTGGTGTTAACAATTATGTGACAACACCCTTAAGTTTTACTTGAAATTCTATACAGGAGTCTACAATGAAAACCTACCTTCTAACAGGGCTATGGACTCTATAGAAGAACTGTTGAATGCCTTCAATGCAGCCACATGCCTTTGCTGAATACTTTTGCTTAGTTTATGAATATGAATAGAAAATTATGTTGGTTTTGTGGTTTGAAAATCACCTTTACAGACTTAAACCAAGAAATAAACAAAAATCTATTGGTTTGCCAGTGATGCATCTTTTTTTATGTGGCCAGTCTGCTATTGGGGGATTTAGGCTCACTGTTGAATGACTTCCAAAACCCTAAGACTTTTTCTTTTTTTAACTTTATTTTAGTTATGAAAGTAGGCACTAAAGTAATAGGTAAGACCCCCAGAATTGCAACTTTATACATAAAATATATGTATATAATATGTATAATATGCCCACATTAAGTCATTAGTCATTGTACTTTATTCTTCTGATTGAGACATCTACCTACTCCCAAAAGACAGTCACAAAAATGATTTAAGCTGTATATGAATGAATGAGATTCTTTATTCCCTTAGTCTTAAATGTAAACTGAGTTACTTCCAAAAAGACAGCATTTTTTTCCAAAGGTTTATTTTTGCAGTGATAGCCAGGACACATATACAATATATCTGGTGTTCTCCATATGTGGAAGACAGACACCCTCATGTCCTATAAACAGCTTTTTAGAGTGCAGTGAAAAAGCTCTAAACAGTCTATTCAGCTTTCCATGTCCTGTCTCTTGAAACACCCCCAATTTCTGTAAATCTACAAACTCCTCGATTTCTTCATCAAGGTTTGCTTAAAAATGGCATCTGTCATCATGCGGTTCCTCTCAAAGTGGCCCTGTTCACCTCTGTCCTGTTTGAGTGGGCAGCTGCTGGCTGAGATGTCACTAATGAATCAATGCTACTGGACTTCCTGCCCTTAGTCCCTGCAGGTTTCTGTGTCAGGGTGGTTAAAAGCAAGTCAAACAGCATTAACGCAGGCCACGTTCTCCCTCTGTAATGTTTCCGTCCTTCCTGACCAGTGTGGTACTGCATGGAAAGCAGTTCTGTGGACCTGCTCCAGACTGGACTGCTTCCAGTGTCTGCTAGAGTACTGAGAGTCTGTTTGGAGAGCCTTTCATGCTCCTGGTGGTTGAAACCACGTGATCCCTCAAGTTCAACAAAAAGCCTAAGATCTCATTCCAGTTAGTGTGCCCTCCTGGGTGTTGATGCTCATCTTTCCCATCTGTCTTAAACAAACCAGACGCTTGACAAACATGATTATTGCACAGAAAGAGCACCTTTTCAAGTACGTATGCTTAAGAGTCTTTCCACCGCTTCAGAGAAAATACGTTAAATTTCATTTGTATAAAGTTGACTTTGGTTGACGTTGAAGTGTGCTGCAAAGACAAAGGTTGTTGGCATTCATTATGTTGTATCACTGATTCAGTTCTTTAAGCTTATTCCATTATTCTTTCCATATTCCTGCTCCTGATCTCATTACATTGGATTCTCCCTACTATTCCACTATTCCTATTTATTGTAAGCCACCAAGTGAAACAGTGCCATTACTTCAAGTTACTAAGTTCCTAAAAATGACACATTGGGCTACACAAAAGTTCTGGTGCCTTTGAACATGCCTTGGTCAATAAAAGCTTGCGTGCAGGTGGGCAGTGGTGGGTTGGTGTTTAAGGAAGCAGCTGTGGGTCTCAAAGGTTTCAGGTTTAAGTCTGCCAGCTGCCATGGTGCTCTTGAGGTGCACTCAGAATGGCAGTTTTTGAAGTAACATTTTTGAAGATGTTTGACATGTTTCGCTCTTCTTCCTGCCATACTTCTTAAGATTGGTTATTGTAATTGATGTTGCCTTTTATCATCTGCCTGCAGTCCAGATTTTGTCCTATGACCTCTCACACACAAAGGTTTATTTTGTCCAGGAAACTGCTGCTCACTGTACTGTTTTACTATTTTTTTTCTATCCATTCTATGTAAACAAAAGAGATGGTTGTGTGGGGAAATCCCAGTAGATCAGCATTTCTTGAAAAAATCTAAGACCAGCCTGTCTGGCACCAACAACTACGCCATGTTTTAAGCAACTTGAATCACTGTTCTTTTTGTCCCGCATTCTGATTGTCTCTGTAAATTTCAATTCATAATTTTGACCCTGTTAAATGTTTTCAAAACAGTTTTTTTGTTCTAATGCAGTTCACCAAGTGTACCTAATATAGTGGCCACAAATAGGTTTTCCTACTTAAAGTCAACATTGTTTGTTATTGTTCTTTTTCAGCTACCTGGCTGACCAGTGTTGGAATGGAGGTTGTATCTACATAGTCCTGCTGCGGCGAGTTAAACGAAAGGCTCCTCTTCCTCCTTGTGAAGTCCTAAATGGCAGTGGCTTTACCCCCATGGGCTGTGACAGCAGTGAGCGCCAGCTACCAGTTAGAGCTGTACCTGGGCCCTGTGAGGCTTCAGTGAACGGCAAACGAACGCGAAAGTTTGGCGTCATATCTCGGTCGTCTTTTACTCGGGACAACAGGGACAGCACAGACTCGGAGGTCCAGGGCTGCTACAATGGTTACAGCTCATCTGTTTCCACTGACCCGGAGGTCAGCACTCAGGGCTATGACTCCAGCTGTATCCCCTCAACCCGGACATCAATAAATGAAAGTCCTGACAACTTTCCTCAGGTGACAACGGTGTTTCACCGTCAGCACAGTAGAGGAACTGGCACCCTGCCTGTCAGGTGTCACAGTCAGCTGTTGGAAAGCAAAATGGATTCATTCAGCAGTGAACCTTCGACCCAGGTGAGACACAAAGATGACATTCATGACCTAAACCCTTAGACTTGTAGATGAGATCAGAGATTTCTGAGGTAGAGGGGAGCAGAAAGGAGGAAAAGGAGTGGGTAGAAGAGGGGAGTTCAGATGTAGTATCGGAGGTGGGTTGTGGACTAAGATTACCATAATGTTGATTTACATACTCTAGAATGAAGTTGTTGGGTTTTTTTTTTGTTTGCTTGTTTTTTTTTTTTTTCATTTTTATTATTAACAGAGAAATTGTTTTCTGCATTTACCACCTGTGTGTAACACTCCAGGCCAGGATTCAAACCATAATCCTTTGTTTACAACCCTGATACTAACCACTTGGTAACAGGCTAGGTAACATTTTTAATCACACCTTGATTAGCTCCTTAATTCCTGTGTGCAAAGAAGCCTGACAGGACACTTTTTGTTATGACAAATAAAGTCAGGCATATTTTACAGGCAAATATTTTACAAGGGATCTTAAAAACTCATTATGTAACATTTGTGGGAAAATCACATTTTTCCCAGTGTCTTAGCCAAAACGAAACCAATTCTTCTGGTTTATTGTTTGGTATGACCAGAGCCATAGAAGAGGCCATAGATTATTATTGGAGTTGGCTATAAGCGTGGGTAACAAGATCATTTAGTTTTACAATAGATACCAACTATGATGTCATATGTATTTACCTGGATTTATAATTACAAACATGCAGCGTCTTTTCCAGTTGTGGTCTCCAACGACATTTAGTTTGGTATATGTACCAAAATAAGTCAGTTCATCAACTGCATGTGAATATTGCAGTTTTTGTTTGTAGTTTGTAAACTGCATTTCTGGTAAATATTTTCAAAAAGCTTGTATAAGAAAGAAATGTTTTGTGGGTCTGTGATGGTCTTAAAGACATTGGCTTAATTAGACTACAACAATTAAATGGGATATCACAAAGTAAGGTATTATAGTACACTCTAACCACATACTGTATAAATATATCAAGACAAAGGAAACAAAATGTAGAAAATTAGTTTTGTGATGAAGCAAACAAAAGACGTAGCAGAATGTTGGTCAAACCCAGGGATTTCCCCAAACTAAGACCATGGTCAAGTGAAAAGTGTGGCTCTTTGTTTTACTACTCACTCTGTTCCTCTGTTCAATTCAATTTTATTTCTAGAGCGCATTTCATGCACAAAGCAAACCTAATGTGCTTTACAGTGGTTCAAACAGTTAAATATAAAAAGAAAAAACAATGACAAACACCCCCTGCCCTTACAGACCCTCGCATCGGCTGAACAACTCCCAAGAAAAACCCTTTATAGGGTAAAAAAAGAGGAAGAAACCTCATGGTGAGAGACAGAGGAGGGGATCCTCACCCAGGACGGGCAGGCGGGGAGTAGGAAAACCAATCTACAAACATTTTTAAATGCAATGAGTCAACAAATGACATTCGTCCTTATTATTAAACCCTATTGGTTTTGGTATTCTCCACTGGATTTGAACAGACTTATGCAAATTTATCATTTAGGTGTATGAGTGAGGCCAAGTGATGAACTGTAAACTAGGAACTGTGGTACTGTATGAGACACTCAGGAGTGGCAGAGAAGTATGTGAAGGTCATGCAGGACATGGACTAGTGAGACAGTAGTAAGGTGTGCTGCCAGAGTGACGGATGGATTCAAGGTAGGGGTGGGGTTGCATCAGGGTTCAGCCAATACTGGCCTACTGGTCCTTTGTACAAAAAAGGCTGGGGCAGCTGTACACAAAACAATTGATTAACGAAATTGAAAATCTTCTTTTTCCATTAACAATCCTTGTCTAACATAAAATCAGTCTGGTGCAAAAAGGGTAAGTACTACACCACTGAGTTTTTTTTATAACTATATGGTTGATTAAATGGAGCATCCACCAACACAATACTCCTTGAGTTAAAACACTTTTCTCTTTTTTACACTCCTTACTTATAGACAAAAGGGGACACAGTGTTTGTACACACACTCTAACCCAAAAGGACTGTGACTGACTTTGTGTCACTGTATTGCATGGCTACAGATATATTTAGATTCCTTGGTGAGAACCAGATCAAGCCTGTAGTACTGGGTTTTGGTTCTTTTTACTTGGCTGAGGTTCAGAAAAGGATTGTGGTTTTGGTGCTGAGAGTTGTCCTAACCCAACCCTCAAACCATAAATCAGACTCCAGTTACCAGGAACAGATATGGCAGAAAAATATAGGCTACTGCACACAGGCCTTATGCCTTACGTTTCCCACAAACATATCTGGTAATGTTCTCTTGGTGTGTATAAATGTCATTTTTCATTTGATGAGGTTTCCTTCGTATAGAGCCACCAAAATAAAATCCCATTCTTACATTTCCTTCTGGTTTTATTGCTATGTCTGTGACTTATGAGTCTCTTCTTTGAGGACCAGTAAAAGAGTAGCGAGAGAGGGAGAGAGCGTTGTTGTCAACAGCTCATCAGAACAAATTCACTAGCAGTTTCTCCAATTTAAAATCTTTTTGCCTATCTTTACGGTTTTAAAAATATTAAATCCTTAATGATATTAAAGTATCTGCAAAGCATGTTATAGTTTTGGTTATGACCTGCTGCAAACATAGGACTAATAGACTTGGGTTTGCTCACTTTTAGGAAACTCTAGCCCAGATTCTGTAAATCGTTTCATGCTGGTACACTGACCATCCCAGAGTCCACGACTCTTTACAGACCATTTTTCTGTGAACTTTGTGGTTGAAATAAGGATTTGGATTTATTGGGCATTGTCGATGCTCAAATTTCAGGTTTCATGGTTTTCCTTGTACTACGTGATCCAATGCCACCTGTTGGTGTGGTGATTAGTACAACAAGAAGAAAACTGGCTTACTTCCCGGCTCATTCAGATGTTCTTTCTGTGTGTTCTTCCCAGATGTTTATGAGGTTTTTCTGTAAAGTCTGTTTTTAAGTCAAAATTACGTAACATAGATCAGGTTAAATAGGCATTTACATTTGAATGTCAATAGTTTTTATGTCAATTCATGTGGCTTAGTGACATACTGGAAACCCATCCAGTTAAATCCTGCCATTCCACCCACTGCAACACTCAGTCTTGGGCAGGATTGGGATGGTTTGGTGGGCCAGATTTGCCCCACAGGCTGCCAGCTGATGATCACTCCACTAGGGTTTGCAAGAAACTGTATGGTTGTTGTGAAAGTTTGGTTATTTTAGATTAGATTTTTGGTTTTGATTAGAATTTTTTACATCCATCCATCCATCCATTTTCATCCGCTTATCCCCTACCGGCTCAAGGGCGCAGCAGTTGCCACCCAACTCACACTGCACTGTACCATCCCCCCTGAACCATTCTGCGGGTGGTGAGTCCACTGGAAGGTACCAACCACCCTAACCGGGATTTGACCTTGCCCAGGAGGTGAACCCTGGGGTTCCACACCAATGTCAGAGACATTGCCTCTGGACCAAAGTGCCACCATTTTTACATATATATAATATTCTATGTATTCTATAGTTTATAATCAAAAAGAATGGGAAAAACAAGGTGAATGGTACTGCCACCATTAGCGTCCCCCTGCAGGCTGTGGGTGGTTCAGGATTATGCGCTCCTTCACTCTTATTTCTGATGCGTTTAATCTACAGGGAGTGACGAGACTAAGGCCTATTTTCATCAAACGAAAATGTTAAAATAATTTGCTACTGCTGCCTAACATTTTCATTTGCTGCAGCTGCAATAAACATTTAAAACCTGATTTTGGCTGCTTGTGTTTGGGGCTAATGTGAATGAAAAAGACAGATGCTTGATGGAAAATAGTGCAGAATGTGAAGATGCACTCTGTGAATGTGTAACTGAATTGGTGTTAGTTACCAGAAAGAGTGGTAAAGTTCTACATAAATGCTAGGCATTGACATTTAAATAATCTGACAGGATAGATTAGTGGACTTTTAGTTACGTCATACTCCGGATCAGTGAGGGAGAGTTAATACTGAGTGGACGTCCTGTTAATGGATCCAAACCAACCCGTTCTGTCTGAAAAAACGATCTGGGATCAGACATCTGAAAGCACTAAGAGTATTACAGTGCCCAAATAACTGCTGTGATGGAAGCTGAGTGAGTGGTCCAGAGGATTGAACTGCTTACTCTGGATCAACAACCACATTTCTAGCCCCCATTAACAGGTTGTGATTTGTCTCTGTTTAGGCAACGTTTCAAAAAAAGAAATTGTATTTCACACCGTTAAGGACTGTTGTTTGAACTCAGTGGGTACTGTCAGTAAGTAAAGAATAAGAACATTTGGACAACATAGACAGTTTTTGTTGTTAAATATATTTTCCAAATGCAGCCTCCTTACAGATAGTAGAACCTTTAATTTGATCAAAATGTTATTACAAGTTCAATGTAACATGACTGCAATGCCTCTTTTGTACACGCGGAGGCGCAGTAGTTATGTCCTGCTTTTTGCTTCCATGAGTCTAAGCTGCTGAAAATACAGTACTTAGCACAAATACCATCTCAGCATTTAAATGGAAGACCCATAAAGGTATATACTACAAATGTGTTTGGATCACACTGGACAGATCATTACATCAAGATGAAATGTGTATGAGAACCGAGAATTGACTGTACTTTTAATGGTGAGATACATTTTCATTGTGTTTTGTACTTTGTACTTTTTATTTCTTTTGTAGCCCAGAGAAGGCAGCTACATCTGGAAGATGCACATGGTGAAAGGTCAAGAGGGCCTGGGTATACAGATCACAGGGGGTCGAGGCTCCAGGCGCTCTCCTCATGGCATCATTATAGCTCACATAGAAGAGGGTGGATCCATTCACAGGTAGAACCACCACATGTATAACCCAACATGCCTTATTTACATCTTTTTTTCTACACTACCTCTAGTGTGTTTATACAAATTAAAATTTAAAATAGTTAAATGCATTCCTTCACACTTCTAAAACCCCCAAAGTATCACATTCAACTGTCATGATTCTCTAAAATATCCTACTGAGTGATGCATTATGGGACGATGATTGTGTTATTGATCAGCTGACACCCAGCTGGGATGGTAGAATAGAAAACTGATCTGATTTTCCAACTGGCAGCTAATGTTTTATTGATCCTGTGCTTATCTGCTGCTGCTTCTCAGCAAAGGAAATACAAGACCATACAGAGAGGAGATAGACACAGGTTACTGATGGTTTTCCTGTCATGTATCATGACACGTAGTTTTTTGTAGTTTAAACATGGAGCGGCTTTTTACTGCAGTGTTTTGGTGGTAAATAGTTCAACTTTATTTTTTGTGTGCATGTGTGTGTGTCAGGGATGGCCGTCTCCATGCAGGTGATGAGTTGCTGATGATCAATGGTCAGTCTCTCGTGGGTCTCACTCATCAGGAGGCTGTAGCTATCCTCCGCTCCACCACCGGTCTGGTCCAGCTGGTGGTGGCCAGCAGGGTAAGTTCACAGGCACGCACACACACACAGACACACATGCGCGCACACACACACACACAGAGGCTGTAGAACAACAATAGACAAAAGACACAGGACAGACTAAAGTAGGTATTAGATCATCAGAGGAAACAGTAGCAGAGCGGCCTCCTGTTTGGGTCGACTTCCTGTTTTGCTCTAACATCATAGTCTTTTTTCACTCCTCTGCTTCAGGTCCTTCTTGAGGGTCAACTGAAAGTAAATGAGCAAATGGAGTTTTAGGATTGGAATGGATTTAGGTCAGAGTCTCAGTGTAAGGAGCCATCTTTGGTGCTGTTTACACATGGAAGTCCTTTTTGAGGTTATTTTTTGTTCACAAGTTACAATTTAAGAAAAGAAAAAAATAAGAAATAAAATAATTATAATGAAAAATGTTTTCTAGACATTAAAAACTTGAACAGTGGTGGAGGATAAAGAAACATACAATAAAATAGAAAACAGAAAGTTTTAAAGCTTTATTTTTTAATGCTGCAACCTCTATAAAATAACTGTAATGATTGGAGGATGATTCAAGTGTCCAGAACGTTCAGTATTGGAACAGTTTTTACTGAACATTGATGCCAATGGTGGCTGTACAAAAAAGTCAGAGATAGAAATGCTGGACAAATAGAAGAAAGGAATGAAAAAAAGATTTATGGACACTATGAAGGAGGACGTGAAGAGGAGTTTAGATCAATCGACTTCAGATCCAGATAAGAGAGGAGATTGTGAAATGTGGAGATGATGACACATGAGTTAAGGTAGGCTAAGGTGAAATAGTGTGGAAATTCTTGATGAAAGTTTCATGATAAAATATTGGTCTGAGATTCTTGAAGAAGTTTAAGTGTCACTTTTTTAATTACATTTTCTGCTAATTTATCACGACCTTCTGCTCTGCTCTACTTGTGTCCTATAGGAGGAGTCAGACGTTGGATTCGATCGCTTCCCCTCCACCAGTCTGCCAGACCTGGTCAGCACCTGCGGTTGCTCGTCAGCACTCTCTCACTCTTCTTTCCCTCACCCACCCCAGACCTCCAGCAGCAGCACAAGTCTTCACAACATTTTCCCGGTACACACAGATACATAAAGACTCAGGTGTATTCGATGGTGTGAGATTATTCAGCAGTGTTCAGATTGAACTGAACCATTGTTCATGGTTCCCTCCTTGAAGGTGACAAACCTGGAGAAACTAGAAGAGCAAAGTCCAGCGGAGGCTCCAAAAGGATCCTGCAGCAGCCCCGTACCCACCAAGCTCAGCGGTCGGTCCCAAGGTCTGGTATCTCAACCTACAGCCACCAGCCTTTAGTTTAATTAATTTTTGGGGTGAATTAACGTGGAGGCAATTCTCTGTCCAGTCTTGACCTCATGTACACACCCACTGTAAATCCATCCAATCACTCTCCTGTAATCTGTGCCAGTGTAGATGTTAATGTGTGTGGAAGAAAATCTAAACTTGAGAACCATAAACTCTTCAGGAAAAGTACAACGAGCTCATTCTTTTTTACACAGACAAGTGACGTTGCCCCCTGGTGGTCACTTAAAGAATATGTTTTAAAACAGGACCCTGGTGTGGAACCCTGGAGCAGGTTTATTTTTTTACTCAGACAGTTCACTTGCACCAGTTTAATCAACACTGCACACCATAAGCTTGGCAATTTTTCCACTGATTTTTTTTAACCACAAGTATGTGGAAAATGTATAGAAAGTCTGTTAGGAATATTTTTGTTTTCTTTTTCTTTTTCCTGGATCAGGCGGGAGCAGTCGTTTGGAGTCTGTGGGCGAAGACGACGAGCTCTTTGTAGCGAACGGTGTGAGCAGCTGCGAAAAAGCAGACAAACCTCCGCCTGGTCGACGTAAACACTCTCTACCTCAACAACTAGATACAACTGGAGTGAGACAGGTCAGTAAATGCCTCACCTGTTTCTCTTCCCATGTATCTTATATTCTGATCCACATCTAATTGTACTTTTCTACTGAATAAATCAGATTAATCAAAACAGACGTTTTTTTAAGATGCTACACATTCTAGTGGGGTTCCATAATTTATCTGAATTATTTAGTAGATAACAAATATAAGAACACACAGACCAAAGCCTCCTCACTCACCGTCATGACACAGTAATTGCCCAATTAAGTAAGTGAAATAAAATGCAGAGGACGTCATTGTCTTTGTGTCTTTGTTTTTGAAGTTTGGTGTCTGTGAACCCTACAGAAAGCATCAAACTCTGATGTGTATAAATTCGCATATTGTTTTTGGGAAAGAAGAAGGCAATTACTGTTTCTTCATCTTCTTTGTTGCTTATCTCCCTCTTTTCATTTTCCCAGGATTATCAGATCATTAAGAAATCAGCTCGCTCCCTGAGCACTGTTCAAGTGGAGTCTCCATGGCGCCTGGCACAGCCATCCATTATCTCCAGTATAGTGCTGATGAAAGGCCAGGGCAAGGTGAGTGCACTCCTTTGACATGTGTGTCTGAATAAGGCTCTATGTGGGTCACCTCACAATAACACATAGACACAGACCAACACATGCACAAACATATTATTAACCACACATTTACATTTCAGTTATACATTTGATGTGCTGATATTAATGTTGGTTTCAGTTGGTTGACGTCAACTGTTATTTTTAATTTAAACCCTGTCTCACCCCGGTTAATCAATCCAGGCTGTGACTAACCAGTGTGGCAATCCAATATCTGAGCTGCTTATTTTGATGTTCTTCCTTACACAACCTTAAAAATGCATTGGTCTGGGCTCTCTCTAGTGACTGTTATTTTGAACCTAGACTATGCTTTATTATAAAAGTAACAATTATTCAAGAAATGCCAATTTTGCTAAAAAAAAAATAAAAATATTAATAATAAAATAAAAATAATTTAAAAAGGATAATGTGACAGAAAATAGTCAAAACTTTTCTGACGTGACAGATCACATGACATGACTTTTTTTATGTTAAAATGTAATATTTCATATATTAATAATAAATGGAATTAGGAACATATTATGTAACCACATTTTATTTTTATTCAGTGTGTGTGAGGGGTTTATACTTTTTACTCGACTTCATTTTCTGTGAAACCATTTCTCCAGGGTTTGGGATTTAGCATTGTTGGTGGACAGGACTCCGCTCGGGGTCAGATGGGGATTTTTGTCAAAACCATCTTTCCTCATGGAGCAGCAGCAGCTGATGGGCGACTGAAAGAAGGTAGAAAAACGTATATTTCAATACATTTCTTCTGAAAATGTGAACTTTTTAAACCAGACCTGTGCTATTTTTATGTGTAGGAGATGAGATTCTAGAAGTGAATGGAGAATCTCTCCAAGGTCTCACTCATCAACAGGCCATCCAGACATTTAAGGTGGACTTCACATATGACTCTGTGTATATTCTATTATAGTTTCTCCTTCTCTCCATCATTAAACCTCACATTTGTTGTTTTGACAGCAATTGAAGAAAGGCGTCGTGACCCTGACAATCCGAACACGTCTGCGTAGTCCCAGCCTCACCCCTTGTCCCACTCCAACCCTCCTGAGCCGCTCCAGCTCACCCAACTCTAACACCAGTGGGGGTACGCCCGTGCCCTCAGGGTCAGAGGAACCTGATGGACGTAAAGGCCCAGGTCCGAAAGACTGCATCATCATGGAGGTCACACTAACTAAAGGTCAGGTCACTAAGGAATCCCAGTGGTTCTGGTCACAACTAATGACAATAAGCATTAGGGATCGAGTGAGTCTGACCATTCCACCCTTCAAATTCAAATTAGGGATATTATGTTGGAGTATCAGTTCTCACTCAAATCCAATATAGTTAAATTGCTCTGTTACGTTGACTCTCCTAGAACCTGGTGTCGGTCTGGGCATTGGAGTCTGCTGTCTGACCCTGGACAATTGTGCTCCTGGCATCTACATCCACAGCCTGGCTCTGGGATCTGTGGCCAAGTTAGACAGCAGACTCAGGTTAATATATTTACATGTTTACACTTGAGGTAGAAAATATACAAGGTATTTCTATGTTGAAGTAATTGTCACTCCTACACTTTTCTCCTTTGCAGTCGTGGTGACCAGATCTTGGAGGTGAACTCGGTCAGTCTTCGTCACGCTGCACTCAGTGAGGCCTACGCCATCCTCAGTGAATGTGGACCAGGTCCAGTCAGTCTCATTATCAGCAGGCATCCCAATCCCAAGGTCGGAGCATAGCAGTGCGCAAAATGTTTTTAATCCAGCCTGTATAATTCATAGATCAGTGTCACTGGCTCATGTTATTGAACATAGCGTTATGGCACATTAGCTGTTATCTGTTGTCTCTGACCCATATATTTTGTGTAACTGTGTAATTTATTACTTGTCATAAACATAAATAAAAAAAAACTCAGCTGTAGAGTCGGTTAAGACATGCGTTTCTTAATCAGTTGTTTAAATATATTAAAGCTAATCTGTTACTGCTTTGTTAATGTTACAAACAGTTTGATAATAAGGACCATTCTGTCTGTTTGGTTTTCAGGTGTCAGAGCAGGAGATGGATCTGATTATAGCTCGGTCAACTCACAGGGACAAAATGAGCCGAAACAGAAACTCTCAAGGTTGACTGACATTTTCATTTTTTTTTCCACTTTTTATTTTATTTTCCTGTCTGGTGAAGAATATCATATCGTCTATATATTGGCCCAAGTTTGGTCATGTTTTAGCTTCTCTGCAAACAGCTTGACGTGTTTTTGCTGTATGTGCAAGAAGACACTTCCAGAATAAATAAAGCGACATACAATGCTATTCTTTGTACAAACAGCTTTAAGCTGAAATGTTATTTTTTCTCTGAAAAAAATAAAACAACAACAGAGTGTTTTGTTCTTGGCAACACTGTGTAGACAAATTGTTAGACCCTGATTTTCACTTTTCCACTTGCGCACAATATCACGGTAATAGAAATGTGTTTCCTCTGCTGCAGGTCAGTCCTGTAAAAGTCCCTGTCTGTCCATGAAGGATAGACAAGGAAGTGGTTCCCCTGCTCTCAGCTGGACCATGAAGAGATTCCTGGAGCCTGCCAGCAGAGTAAGTCTTCCGTAAACACAAGATTGACACTTACAGAGTCTGTCTGTGTTTTTTTCTTTTCTTTAAAATGTCTTCGACTCAATTTTATTTTTTTACATATCTGAAGCAGGGCTCCCTGAGCTCAGAGGCAGAGTTGTCTCAGTACTTCTCCCAGGACATGTCCAATCACTCTTTCATGTCCGACTCTATGCTGATGAGCATGAACAACGACAATGGTGTCCACCAGCAGAGCTGCCGGACCTCTATGGACGACAACACGACACGCGCACATGGTATATTTGTAATTGATGACCTATTCTTGGTCCAGAATTCATTTACATTACATTGTACCTCTTTACACTCAATGCAATTTAAAGAGTTTGCAACTGTGATGCCGAAATAAGTCTTTAACAGTTATAGAATGGCCCAGAATGTTAGACTTAGAAAACTGGCTTGAACAACATGATTCCTTTTTACTAATTTTAGCCTACAGTTAAATATGTATAATATGTGGCATATGTATAATAAGGTCAGTTCCTATGGTTACTTAAAATAAACCTCTAGTATAGAGTCTATACTATGTTTACTGGATGGATTAAAAGCAGTGGTCAAATTCCAAACATTAAATGACAAGTAATTCACAACTCGTTATTTTAAATCAAATTTCTTATTTATGTTACTGTGGAAAAAGCAGTCTGGTCAAACCTGTCAGGACACTAGTCAATAAATGTGAACATTTTGTCCTGCCATTTTGACTGGGTTTTAAATGTCAGCCCCTATCTTTGGCCTAAAACAATTTTGGCTTTTTTGAGAATAAACTCACCTCTTTGTCTTGTAAATTATATTTTTTGTCACCTTGTAATAAACAGGCATATCCATTAGTTTTTCAAAAGTTTTTTTTATTTATTCCTCCCTTTACATTTCCAGCATCTAGTCCCTTCACAACAGAAGCAGAAAGCAGTCCTGGGTACAACCAGTCAACAGAGAACTTTCCCTCAACCATCATAAAGAAAAGCCTCTGCCACCCACCACCGTTGCCTCCAGCCCTTCGTCAGTGCGTAGCCCTCTCCTCCGTCAGAGGAGGGTGATGTGCTTCGACGACGAGCTGAGTGATAACGATGAGTCGGAAATGACTGGAAATACAGTACACTCAAGCACAAGAGTAAAATCTGTCACTATTGAAGCAAGTGAAGCTCAAAAAGACGACATCTCCAAAGCGGATCACATAGTTGGGGTTCCTACCTCGACTACATCATCTTTAGACGTGGATGGAGACAGCGAGGATGGTAGAGATCTGCAGAGGTGTGAAAGCAATGAGGCCTCTTCGCCGCTCAGTGACCGTCCCTCAAGGCGGGCAGATGGTGGAAGCATTAAATCACCTGGTTCTGAGTCACCCTTCATGCCTATTCACTGCCCGTTTGAAGAAAAAGCAAGAGTGGTGATTAGTGCAGGCCCTGTGTCCACCAACCTAACCATCTGTAACAACAACCAAACCAACCAAGATGACGCACAGGTGGAATCAAAGCGCTCTCCCAAACTGGAGCATAAAGCAGTGACACGGGTGAAGAGTATGATGAGCATTGAAGCACCAAACCTCTGCCTGCAGCAGAAGTCCAAAGGTGAGGAGCCTGCTCCGTCTCAGGAGCTAGCGTCTTCCACTCAGTCTGGAAGGAAGCCAACAGTGGTCAGTGGTTCGATGCCTCATCAACACTGCAAGAAGGGAGACGTAAGCGAGCTGGCAGGCATCTGCACCATCGACACTGTGACCCTAATAAGAAGCACAGATGAGTCCTTTGGGCTTGACCTGGAGATCCTGTCGTCCCCTCTGAAAGTTATCATCACTGGGTTAAAGCCCGGAGGTGCAGCAGAACGAGTATGTAAAGTAAGACTGAATGGTTTCTTCAGACTTGGTGCAGTGGATTACATTTTAATCTCGTCTTTCTCCCTCTGTGCTACAGGGGTTTTCTTCACAGCTCTATCCTGGAGATGAGATTGTCAAACTTGGGGAGAGGTTGGTTTGCTCTTCTACTTATCAGGAAATCTGTGACATGATGTACAACCTTCCTTTGACACTGACCCTGGAGGTCAAGAGACCAGTATCAGGTAAAAGTCAGGCATTTATTGTTATTAGGCAGTTATAATTATATATAACAATTCAAATAAAAAATATTAAGTTTTTTTTAAGATTAAGGTTAAATATTTTTTAGTTTTAAAACAGGTAACATGGTCTCTTTTAGACCATTACCGTATTAATGTTACATAGGACAAGTAATGATATTTTAAGCACAAGAGACAGAAACAATAATCTAAACCTAAAGATTTTTCTTGTAACAACCAGACTTCATTTGTCAAAAATTAGAGGAGAAGTTTACTTCTAATTTACTGCTAATAATTTGTCTTCATTCATCTTAATCTATTGCAACAGCGACAGGCAGAACAATTAAATACTACTCCACTAGGTGGCAGCAGATAGCTGAAAAACTAAAAGCTTTGCCCCTGATCTGTTAAAAAACTTATTTTAAAGAAAATCTTTCTTTATTCCCTGTGATTATACATGTGTTGTTTTCAACTAAACAGATCCAGGTTCCATACATTAAGTGAGTAAATTGTAAGTAAATTGACACTAGAAGATGATCATATCATATTAAATACACTTTTTGAGACATTTTTATTTGGTGGTGCACCATGGGAAACACTGAACTAGGTGTCAAAAACAACTCTTGCGTGAAAATATGTAGATTCCGTCCTTAAATGTTTCTTTCCCTTTGCTGCAACTTTAAGATATAGGAGCCACCCTCCCTCACTAACTTCCCCAAAACAGCCTGCAGACATCTGGCTATTTATCCATGGTGACTATGTTACACAGTATCTTTCACCTCATTCTAGATTTAGCTTGTAGTTAATCTCCCTGTATGCAGGTAGTACTAACCCATGTTAATGTGTCATAAAGTAGATCATAGTGTTGTAGTGTAGAAAAAACACTGCTGTGGATCACTTTCTATTATATCCTGGATTTAAAATATTTTTGTGGGGGTTATGTTTATGTTCTATCTGACAAATTTTGTACAAATCTGCACATTTGCACTTAGTACCAAGAAGTAAGATCTGATTTTTTATGCAGATTGGATGTTAATAAAAGGCAGATAATGATTATATGATCCACCATAATAACCAATATGAATGATTGACATATCAGATTGTTAGGTTTTACAGTCTTGATGTTGTTGCAGAACCACTTGAGTTGTGAAATTTTATGCCAGTACAGATATTTACAGATAGAGAATTAATGTCTACATTATTTCCTTAACTAATCTTCCCACTGTTTATTTGTGGCTCCAGCTGTAGATCATCTTTCCAGTTTGATGATGTCATCAGGGAGCAGTGATGGAAACATCAGACTGAACACTCCCAGATGTTCACAGGGGATATCTGATCAAAGAGTAGATTTAGAAGGCAGTGCGGATAATTGCACCTACACACCACAAACAGAGTCTGACCTTCAGTTCCCCGTCACCCATATAGAGGACGTTGTAGTGGACGTTCTTCCTGTGGAAACCACGCATGTGACGAAACCAGCAGAAAACACTAACTGTAAAAGTATGTACCCCTTAGAAGACGACAGCGATGAGGAAAGTGACTCTGAGGGCTCGCTGAGGGTCAGTAAGACCAAGAGCACAAAGAGTGGTGAATGGTATTCACCACACCAATATTCATCCTCAGATGAGGAGGAGGTGGAGATTTGTTCACGTGATGAGGAGCAGAAACATGCTGCTAGTGCTGGACCCATGGATTCAAACCAGGCCCCTTACAGGATGTCACCATCAGTACTGGCTCAGACCTCTGAGGTGAATCATGTCACTGAAGAGGTCATAGGTCAACCTCTCACCTGTACCACACTTGTGTCTTCTACACATCCTGGTGATGACAGTGCCATTGAATCATTACAACCATCTAAAGAACCAGTTTCACCGATACCTTTCAGCATCAACAGGAACACTTCCCCAGCCTACGGTGACTCAGTCATTCACAGTCCATCAGCTGATTTACCTTCAGATTCTTCACAAAATTTGAATAGGCTTTTCTCACCTTCCACTGACATGGAATGTACACAAGTCAAAAGATCAGATGACATGTTATCCTCAGCTTCTGTTGCCAAAACTACTTCAACCTCCCATGTAAGGTCTACACTCATGGAGACCTTCGTCCTTGATGATCATAACAGTCCTCAACAAAGTTCTGCCCTCCATTTTCAGAACAAACCTCAAGGTAAAGTGAACCCAGCTGCTCCTGATTTCAGCAGCATCTGTGAAAATATTGAGAACAAACAAACAAAGGAGGAGCTCGTACAAAAAACTTCCCAGACTGAGAGTCCACTCACTTCCAACACTGTTGTGACCTTAAGTCTGGAAACCACAACTCCAACATTGGTAGATGTCTCCAAGGACCACAATGTGAACAGTGACATTGATTTTCCCAAAGTATGTGATGAAGGACAAGATGCATCAGAAAACATGATGGTGGGCTGTACCTTAGAAATGCTGCAGGCAGACAACAACAAGGGAATCAGTTTAGGTTTAAAACCAACACCCAATCAAGCACAATCACTCCCACCTTCAACTCAGAGAACCTTCATCGAAGTTCAACTGCTGCCTTTGTCTTCTTTGTCCTCATCAATCCTGCCTCACAATCAATCTGAATTTTTTTCAAAATCCAATCAAACTGCAGATTTGAATGAAACACCAGTGCCTTCACTTGACTCTCCTTCTGAGGAAAGAACAAAACTCACGATGTGCAACACTCTGTGTTCTACTAAAGACACTAACCCAACCACAGTCATGAGCTCAAATGGCTCAAATCAATTGACTCCTCTAAAGTCCGGCTTGTCCAGACTGTACGTGAAGGCGTCAGAAAGACGGAGCTTATCCACCAAAGCTGCCTTGTCTGCAGACTACAATCCCTTCTCTGTCCGACATAAAATCAAGTCTTTTGAAAACCTGGCCCACTTTGACAAACCTGTTGCTAAAAGCAGTGACATTCAGTCTTTTGCTTTGACCTACAGAGCTTCGTTGAACCAGAGGATTGCTGGTTACATGGGTATAGTCAATTCTTCTGGTTCTGGTTCTAGGACCCGACAAAGAAGTTTCAGCTCTCATGTGGAGAACAGAAACTCTGTAGCAACCTCTTCGTCTCTTCTCGCTAAACCTTCATTCAGCATTACAGACCTGGGCCTTGACTATTCACAGAAGGGCTCTAGCACAGCCACTCCATTGATGAGCAGCCCAGGAGTGGAGGTTCCACAGACCCCTCCAGTGTTACGGAGGAAACATGGTCGGCTCTCGCGCAGCAGGTCACAGCAGCTCAGGGCCCTCAGTATGCCTGAACTAGAGAAACTATGCACAGGGGACTTTCCAGTTGGGAATGATACAGCTGTGAATGAAACAAACACTGACAGTCTAACAAAAGCAGCAGAGACAGGAAGTGCTCCATCCTTTGAGACTGTGACGCAGGTGGATTCAAACAGACTGAGCCAAGGCCAACCTGAATCCATGGAGAACGAGCCTCAAAAAACCCCAGATACCAAGGCTGGATGGTCAATCAGGTGAGTTGATGATTTAAAAAAATGAATTTATCCAACATCTGGTTTTTATGCTGTGATTTCTGCGACTGCATTCTCACAGTGGTGCACAGAACATTGTAGACCACATGGTGGCACAATTTGTACATGTACAAAAACGAGACAGGACTTAATATCATGGTTTCACTGCAGGAACTAGTACATTTCCTAAATGGCCCATGTTGTTCTGTCTAGTATCTGTGAAAAACAAGTTTCACAATCATTGTATTGTTTTTGTAATTTTTAATTTTAATTTTAATTTTAATGCTATTAATATTAAATATTAATATAATATTTAAAAAGTACTGGCAACAATACTTGGTATTGGCAAGTACACGTATGAAAATACTGGTACTCACATTGTTTGTAGAATAAATTATTTCTGCAAGACTGAAGCTATGTCATCTGAAATCTATGTTTCCAATATATTCTATGTAAACAACATATAATGTATTTAATGGTGACTTCTCTGTCCACAGTTTAAAAGAGTTGGTGACGTCTCCTGAGAGCCAACATGAACTGCAGAATCTCCTGCTTTCCCTCACAATGAGGTCATATGTCATGACCTTGATTCAAAAGGTCAAAGTCCTATCTGAGGTAACACTATGACTGACTCTGTGGTCTTACCCTGACTGTTTACTGTGTTTTTACATTCATTTTGTGTTTGAACTTCCTTCAGCAAATTGGCGATACTCATCTTGTGGTCCTGAGTAAAGACGAAGGCTCAGGTCTGGGCTTCAGTGTCACAGGAGGAGTTGACCTTGAGCAGAAGGCCGTGACTGTAAGTCTACTGTGTGGGAATTTTCAGAAACCTAACCCACAGGCTGCACAAGACTGTTTGTGTTTTTATTGATCTCTTACTATAAGAAAACTCTTTTGTCCAGGTCCATCGAGTCTTCTCCAAAGGTGCAGCAGGTCTGGAGGGAACAATTCAGAGAGGTGACATTGTCGTGTCTATAAATGGTACAAGTCTGGAGGGTAAAACCCACGGAGAGGCTGTGTCCGGTCTACATCAAGCGCGGCTCTGCAGTCAAGCCTTGGTTGTCATTAAGAGAAGCAACGACAGTGAACTGAAGTCTTCAGACAGAGGAGACTCAGTCAGCCATTCACAAAGTGAATATCATACCAGAAAGACATCTTTGGAAACTGCAGCAGGTAGATCCTACTTTAAACCCTTAATCAACCATGTTTTTCTTTATGGAATGGGATCACAACAGATTCATCCAGAGTTCTTAAATGTTCTCTGCTATACATCAATTTAAAAATATAATTAAATTACAATTACAAAAGGTTTAGAATTTCTGTTATCTCAAAAGCTAGTGTCAGCCAAGATCATTAGCCAAAGCTTAATAAAGCTAACACAGCATAAGCCTAACTTACGACATCCCACAAAAACCAAAGACATTACTGTGATCTTGATTGTATTCCATTTCAGTAAAATCCACGCTTTTCTTGTTGGTGTTCACTGTTTCTCAGTTGCAGATGTTTCTTCAGACAGAGCTAAAATGGCAGAGCTTTCTAAAGGGTCCTCAGGTGTGGGCTTCAGTCTAGAAGGAGGAAAGTCTTCAAGACATGGAGATAGGCCTCTGCTGGTGAACCGCATCTTCAAAGGTGACCTGTTCTCCATAAGTCTGTCAGAAAGTAGATATTAGAGGTAAATGCTCGTCTATGGAATCACATCCTGTTACGTTGTTGTGTGTTATTTACATCCCATGTGTACAAAGCCCGAGGTTTACATTGTGAATATGAGATGAATATCTTTCCTTTGCCTTTTGTTTTGATTAAATGAGACACTGACACTGTCATAGCTCACATAGCACTGTCACACCAGGAGATACGATTGAAGTTTTTCATTAGGTCTGTTGTATTTTCACACTGCGTTTTTGAAAGTTGACCAAAAACTCTGGAGAACATCATGGAGTTCCAACAGCTCTCCACATGAGGGGGCTCTCGCTCCACTTCTTATTAACAGGGACTGTGTGGAGAGTCTCCTGCATGAGGTATCTGGGGTGTCCACTAACACATCAGCAGTGGTTCAAAACAGCTGAACTTTCTAAGGTTACTGAAAAACCACTTGGAGGTCAAAGTGCTGCCTCCATCAATAATAGAACAACAGTAGAGAGTGTTCAGACGTAGGGCATCACAGTGGGAGACCCTGGCTGCACAGCAGCAGACAGGAAAGCCCTGCAGGGGGTGATAAAGAAATCATCAGCGCCTCCTCTGCCCTCCCTGCAAGACGCCACCATCTCCTGGCGTCTTACCGGAACAAGGAAAATCCAGTCAGACGTCTCACACCCTGGTCTGAGTCTCTTTATCTTCCTGCATTCTGGCAGGAGACTAAAGAGAATAAAAAGCAAAACAAATCATTTAAAAACTGGTTCTCCCCTTCAGACACTGCCTAGTATACCATGCCTTATAGTACTGCTACCTCTGTACACCTGCATGTTATTAGGTGTGTTTTTTATTTACTTTAAGGTCTCTTCTTATTTATGTGTGATACTGACTTCAGTTGAAACAGTGTTGTGCAGCGTTGACTTTCAGTGTGCAGTAGGGAGAGATTGAGACACTGTTGTGTAATCCACAGTTATACAACGACAATAAAGTAGGGATGTAAAGCCGATATTAGCATAATTATATAATATCTGTAAGAATCGTTATTGTTTTTTCCTCTGATAATAAAACCGGATAATGCAATGCCTGAGAGCAAATGAAAAAAACCTCCTACACTAACAGTACTGTGAAAGCAGAGGCTATCTTCTTAGAATTAACTCATTATGTGGAAAATGACAGAACAACAGACGGTACGAAACAATGGAAACAGTTGTTTGGTCTCCTGTACTATCCTCTAATGTATACTGCTCTTTTACATTAACTGTTTGACATGCACACTGGTACAACAGCTTCTATGTAAAAAAAGGGGGGGGTCATGTTGCAGACTCCTTGTAACAACATTTTGAGCACACGAGAAAAATCAGCTGCATAATAAACAGGGGCCTTAACCATTTCTTTCAATCTGTAAACATGCTGTTTACAGATTTCAGATTAAGTAAATGTACTTGTCTACTAAAAAGGGGCTGACTTGCTTACTTCTGTGCAACAGGGGGCGCTGCAGATTTCTCAGGTCTTATTCAAGTTGGAGACGAGGTCCTTTCTGGCAATGGGTGTTCTCTGCAGGGCCTAATGCACCGGGATGATGAAGGACCCAAACAGCTCCTTATCGACAGGCAAAGCACCAGACTTTAGTAAACACATGGACAAAAACTCCGTCAGCTGTTCGTCGATGAAGTCGGTAGCAGTTGGATTTGTAAATATGTTGAAGACATTGAAGTTCCCATTCAGAAAAAAACTCCTTAATCCTAAAGAGAGTGAATCATCTTGAGTGTTTAGAGACCTGTGAGAATCTATAAAGACAATGGAGAAGCTCTCAGAAAACAGAATGTGAAATAGATCATGGACAAACAGCTGCGGTGGGAACGTTATCGTAACTTTGTAATTTAAAGCCTTGGCTGGACCTGACATGAAATAATATGTGATTATATAACTGACTTGTTTTCTTTTATGTAGTTCACAGTAGAAGCACCACTATTCAATGTCACTATCAATCTGAGTCTGACTGAATTATGTGCAGCGTGTTTACAGTAGATTTACTTAAGAATACTTAAGTAAACATTGTGGTTTCAGTAATAAAAAGACACAGAATTCAGACCTGGATGACTTATATAGAACACTCCAACAACTTTTCAGCTTTTCAGCCAGGATCACCACCGCGGTGTCCACATCATGATTTGTCACAGTTAATATTTAGATTTCTCTTGGAAATAATACCTGTGATCGAGTGAGTATTTAGTTGTATTGCCTGGTGTGTGTGATTTTTGTGTAAAGTTGAATTTGTGTGAACTTCCGAGGTCAACGTTATGGAATATGTTATTGTGTTTTTCTGTGTATGTGGCGAGGATGCGTGCGTTTGTGTGTGTCACAAATGACCACTAGATGTCAGTAGAAATGCACATACAAACGACTGTGCCCGAATTTGGAACTAATTTATTATTGTGAATCTTTGTCTTAATAAACTGCTCAATGGTGTTCTTTATACACACAGCGTTTAAACTAAGAAATATGACATTTGGGACATGTTTTTTATTATTAAAAATTATTAAATAATTGTAATTATTAACTTTATGTACAGTGGATGTAAAGGAACGTCATCTAGATATTGTTTTTAACCTTTGCTTCCATCTTTAATGAGATCCATTAATGGTTTGATTAAAAGTCATTCAAAATCATCTACAAATAGACAAAAAATAATAATAAACATGGTTTCTCTTTACATATGCTCATTCTTATGGTATCAACTTTTGAATTATTCAGTGCTAACCCCATAATTTGATTGCAATAAAGTTTAAAATGGTTAATTTCAGTGGTTCTAAACCTGTGGTAGGCATTGGTGGTACTTTGGGAATGTTTTAACTGCATTGACAAACTAGAGGTTGTAGATAAAAAAAAAAAACGTGGAAAAAGTGTGGAAAATATTGCCATCAAAAGCCAGTATGTTTACATGTATGTGTGTAGTTTCAAAATTTGGTTGATTTGGTTTTCTGGCTTTTGACGATAAATCTTATTAGGTTTAAATTCTCCTTTTTCTGCTACTCAGACACACATATTTCCAGAGGCGGTACATGGTGTAAAAAGTTTGCAAACCACTACATTTTCTTTTTCCTTTTTGCTTTGGTTTAGTGTCATTAAAATCAGAAATTCCACAGTCCAGAGTTTTATTTAATTTTGTCCAAATAAAATAACTAAAAATTGACGGCGTGTTACAGAATGAACATTTTTAGACACTGTGTCATGTTAAAGAAAAATAAAATCTGTGATTGAGAACTTCTCATGATACTGGCCTATTCAAAATTATTCTCGCAAACAACAGTCACCTCCTGGTGGCTACCTGGAGATTGGGAAAGGTATGTTTATATTCAAAAGTTTTATAAACACCAAGCAACATCACTCTCATTCCCACACCTGGCTTTAAACAGTGTATTCTTCAAATGCACACACACGACACTGGACACTCGTTGGACAAGAACTGCTGTCCCACAAAGGACACCAGACTTTCTGAGGAGTGACCTGGAATGCTGGCTGCCAGCACGGTCTTATCACTGGAATGAATGATTCTAAACTGTAGTGGAAAAATCCATGAAGCCATTACAGTGGAAGCTGGTGTACATTCTTGTCCATGATGTCACCACCAATGTGCTGCGATGAGAACATTCTTTTTTGTTATACAGTAGTTGTTATACAGCCAAAATAAATTATATCTTTAACTCTTTATTTAAATTAATATTATAGTGTATAACAATTTTAGTGTATAATAATATATTTTGCTTAATAAATTGTCCTTTTATTAATTAACAGGTACATTTGCAAACTTGAAATACTGTATATCCTACAGTACATTGGAAGTAATAGGGACAAAGGCAAAATAACAGTGAAAATGAAAACATGAGTAACATTTATGGATGTTTCTTAAGTGGTACAGAATAAAATAAGAATTCAACAAGAGCTCGGACTTTCTACACGAACAGAATCGAAATTATAAAATGGTTGTGCCTTTGTATGCATACTATACATGGACATCCCTGACCTGTCAGATCTGACTGAGCATTTCCAGTCTTTTACAGTATGTTGAGTGAATGGGCAAAAATGTCCTTGAACAGCAGCAGAATTCTGGATCCTCATTTTCTAATATGACCCACTGCTGAACTCATGTACTTCAGAAACCTCGATGGATATTTTAACCTTACGGCGTGTTATTCGTCGGGGAATCTGAACCTGGTGTTCGTGATTACAAACGGTGAGGCTTTGAAATAGGGAGATTCCATCTGTGTTTTACAGCCTTACAAAAGCGTAGATCAAAATGTTGATAGGAAACAATTTCCCAAAATGTAACATTACACAGATGATTCATTTGACATTTGTCACGCTTTACAGCAAAGTAAAAGTGTCATTTTCTTGCCATTCCTGGCCAAACATCTATAGACAGTGCACTGCAGTGACTAGATATCCATCTAGAACACTCACACCCATCAATGCAGATTAAAATGGCACAATAATTACACTCAGGCCTACAGTTCCCACAGACTCACACTTCACTGCGTCCACAGCTGAAAGATGTCATTACATGACAAGGTGTTGACTTCAGGTTTAATGACCGTAATTGTGAAATATTCTGCCAGTCGCACTCGCTTCTGTAATTTCAGATAAAGACAGCACAGAATTGTGCCTAACATCCAGTATAATACCTTACCTTTTCATGTAACCATGTAATGAATGTAATGGTTTTAAGTGGAACGAGAGCTGTGGAAAACATTGGCACTCACGTCAGAAAATTCCACTCCACTTGCCAGCAAACAAAATGTGTCTTCTGAGAGACCTGGTGAGGTGAGTCATTAGTGACACATGTTAATGTGCCATGATAAGTGCAAGGCTGCTAATTAAGCTAAGGGAGATGGTTTGTTTGTTTGTTTGTTTTTTTAATCTTTTTTTGAGCTGCACAAACGTCAGTCATGCTGCAAAAAATCTTTGTGTTTACGGTAATGGTGGATTGAAGAATAAAAAAAAACTATAGAATCAAATCTCTATTTCTACCTTTTTCAAACACCAAGACAAAACCCAGAAGAAATTAATGGTCCATATTCACATGGCACTTTTCTTATCTTGCATACCTCTCAGTTTTATATATAGTTTTATGCCACTCTCAGTCACATTGTCACACAGTTCCATTGTGTTAATGTTATCACACCTGCCTTATGTATGCTTTACACGCAGACGGTCCTGGGTTCAAGCCCCTGAGGAACCACATACTTAATGGTACCTCTCATGGCCAGTTGTGGGGGCAAACGCTCACAAAATGTATACTTTTTTTTTTATTTATAATGTCTGAGTCATACTTCAGGCATCACTTATCATGCCTCGTCCAATGCCTTAGTTGTTGAGTCAAAGCATCACGTGTTTTTCCCCATGTTCTTCATATTGTGTGTTTCTAAAGAAATAAATTCTTTTTTATACTTTGTGCTGCTGTTTGATCACATTGTTCAGTCCTGTCAGTGGAATGAAAATATGAACATTTGGTCCAACACAATGTGAGTTGTCACATTTAATCTTATTTTTATGAATGCAGCCCAGCTTCAAAGTAAAACTAAATGGAAAAAAAGACTGTTTTCTGCATATTAAAGTGCTCACCAAAGCACAACAGCATAACGTGTGTAGCTATGTATTAATTTCACTCTGTTGTTAAAAAAACAGTTAACATGTGTGCATCAGTTCTTTGTGCATGCCAGAGGTTTAAGATGTCCTGAAATAGACAAATCTGCAGCAACGGTTCAACTGCCATAATGTCAAAATTGATAAAAATCTTGACCAATGTTTCCAGCATTTGTTTAACGTAAACCATGAGAAATGAAGACAGTTTGGATGGAGAATATAGTTCTAGCCTGGCTCTGCCAAGCTGTACCTAATCAAGTAGCCATTCTTTGTATAGATCCTTTTTCCTCGAGGCTCCTTCACATTTAGCCGACTTTGTCACACTGACTCAAATTTGTTACTCTCCCAGAATGCACCAGTTGATGGTCTGTTGTTGCGCAGAACATTTATTAATCATCTAATCAATAGATAACAGGACAGGACATTGTCCATTTAAGACAATTCTCTAGCCTCCATACTCAGGCCACGTGTTGCGGCAGTGTTTAACAAAAAGGCTGCTCCTCCAAATTAGCTGTTCTGAGCTAGCTCATGTGTACGGAAGGTTTTCTTTTTAATCTCTTAAAAAATGTTTCCTTCCACTTGTATCTTTGTTAACTCATTAGTAATGTTTTTGCATATCCATCCATATCAATCCATATTTATGTTCCAGGTGTGTCCTCTTACTTTGTGAGCACCATCAACAACTCTCACTAGTAATGTTTTAATGAGGTTTGTTATCATGGTTTGGTCTTTACACTGAGCAGGTCAAATGCTAATCTGTAACTTCATTTCCTTACTTAAAAACAAAATATATATAAATGCGTTCATCATCACTGGTTTGTGCTATGGCTAAATGAAGAGGTCAGTCCTTACTGGGCTATGGATTTAAAGGTGGTTTAATTATTTAGTTAGTTAGCTAGTTAGTTAATCAGTTAGTGGGGGGTGCATAAATTCAAAGTCAAATACAGTAATGGACAATCGGCCTCAAGTCATTGTTGTCAGAAATGCTATTCTTACTCTTTAAATGAAACTAAATATAAGGAAAGTGTCCTTGAGGCGACGAATCCAAACTGTAAATGAACTTTTTCTCTGAAGCCACTGAAACGCACGTTACTGCTCCGTGGAGCGGTGAAGTGAGTGAGCTGTGAAGGTTCATTGTGAGCCCAGCTCTGCCCTGGGGGCCGTGTCACTTTAAGAAGGAGGTGGGCTGCGCTCTGATGACGCAGGAATGATCCTGAGAAGATGCTTCAAAACTCCAGGCCGGAGCCAATGTGAGCGTGTGTGTGAGTGAGACTGAGAGTGAGCGAGTGTGTCTGCGCTGCAGTGTCTGCTTCTGCTGTTGGCTCAGTCTGAAGGACCAGTCTGCTACTAAGCGTGAGAGCGGCCAGAGACGCAGCAGTTGCCGAGCTCAGGAGAGAAGCTCCAAGCGCACTCAGCCAGACTCACACGCTGATTTACCATCCAGCCATTCTGGTGACTGCGTGCGCGGCTTTGTCCAGTGAACGCACCTCTGTAGTGAGAAGCAACAGTAGAAGCAACACCTCTCTCCACGCTGCTTCTCAATAATACGAACTTGTGGTGAAGGCGCAGGCATGGCACACTTCGGCGCACTGTGCTTGTACTTTCTGACGCTCCTTATCCCTGCGGTGAGAAGCGGCAGCGGCGGCACCGCTGAAGACATAGACGTGTTGGTGTTTTTGCCCCAAAACAACTCCTATCTGTTTTCACGCGCCAGAGTCGCTCCGGCGATCTTTTACGCACAGCGGGCTCTCGCTGCAGACGCCGGACCTTACTCCGGCTTCCACTTCAACATCCACTTTGAGAACTCCGACTGTGTCAACGGGGCGGTGTTGAAGCTGGTGGACAGGTCGTGCGGCCACAAGCCAGACCTGATCCTGGGGCCGGTGTGCGAGTACGAGGCGGCGCCGGTGGTCAGGCTGGCGTCTCACTGGAACATCCCCGTCATCTCGGCAGGTGCTCTGGCCCTCGGCTTCCACGCCAAAAAGGGAGAGTTCTCTCACCTGACGCGCATCGCTCCGTCCTACGAGAAGATGGCAGAGACCTTCGTGGCGATGTTCGAGCACTTCGCCTGGGGGAGCGCGCTGCTGCTCTACGAAGACGACAAAGCGGAGCGCAACTGCTACTTTACCATTGAGGGGGTCTTCAACCTGTTTGGCCACTTTAATATCAGGACCTACTCCTTTTCCGTGGAGGAGCACCTGGACACTGAGAGCATCCTGGAGAGCATGAACGACATTGAAGGTAAATAATTTAATGATTCTTATTTCCTGTAAATTGATTAATTGAAAACCCCCAGCTGTCTGTTTTTCCATGTACTGTACCAGTGTAGATAAACGATGTGCATTTTTAATTTCTTTGACAAAATATAATCAAAAGCAGTCAATAATCCTCGGAAAATAAAATTGTCTTAACTTAAATATTTTAAGTGAAATATATATTAATTTTAAATAAATGAAAGTAGATTTGTTTGTAAGCACACCTGAAGGTGAACACACCTCCATACTACTGATTTACTTCTGTTTTGAAAGACATATTGTATTAGACTAAAGTGTTTGTGATTGGTGTTCAACCAAAGCAGCATTCTGGTGGAGCAGAGTGAAGACGGCAATAAGTGCTGTGAGTCAAGCTGCCAGTCCTACAATTTAAAAACTCACAATCTAATCCCATCTAATCTAATCTGATCTAGAGAAAAACCCCGGATAAAAGTGTTTCGGACGGTATGTGAGTCATTAGAACGGTATATTGAGCAAGTGTCAATATATCTAGTATTCCGTTTGTTTATTTGAAGTACTACAAAACAGCTCACATCCTTTATTATTAAGTATAAAATGAAAGAAATTGACCGAATTAAGTATTTTTTAATTGTCAAGAACTCCTGTCATACAACCCAGAGTCCAGTGGAACATTCACAGGACTTACAGTAACTGATGACAGTATATTACTCTAGTACTCTACAACCACTCACAGGTTTCACTCACCTGCCAAAAGTTTCTTTTGCCATTGAGCTCTGGAAACAAAGAGGAAAAAAAAGAAATTCCCATGTTCCTAGATGTCCTTCGACATCCTTAGATGTAGTTGATGAAATGAACAGCAAATCCTGCAAAAAAGCCTTTATTCTACAGGTTATTTCCTCAAAGTTTGGCAAAAGGGAGGCTGGAAAGATCCGAGTAGTCTGGTTCTAATTACAGTAAGTAAAATGCATACATACAATTTTAAGTGACTTCCAGATGAATTTCCATGAAAGCGACTGCATTTAGGCCAGTGGATATCTGCTACTCATTTATTACTGTAAACTTTGTTCTCCTTTCATGCTGCATTACTGTATGTCTTAGAGAGTGAGAGGAGGAAAGAGTCAAAGTGAAGGAGACACAAGTCACAAATGAAAAATGTGATGTATCTAAAGGTGTCGGAGTGTTTATCACGTTCATCAGACATCATTTTTTCACATGCATCTTTAATGACTGGATTTTAAAGTGTGTTATTCTAGGTTAATGGTCTTAAACAAGTTTTTATATTTAATTACACGAAACTATTTTACAGATTTTTACCTTCACATAATGACTCCTCTTCCATTACCTGATCCAACACCACCCTAGAACTTTAACTTTTTCTTCTTTGGGCTGCAATAGGGCATTTTTTTCACCATCTACTGCCAAATAAAGGAGAGAAAAAAAGATAGAAAATACAAGCAGCGGGAAGCATCTCTCTACAATAGAACACCTTATTCACATTTAATAGTCAAGTTGAAACAATGTTGAAAGGGGATTTGTTGAAATCAGAAATGTTCAGTGGTGTCCATTAAATAACCACTTGATGTTGCAATGTACTTGAAATAATATTTTGAGTGTGTCTAAAGCACTATGTAACTTCAATTTAACAAGTGGTATTAACTAGGTTAGTCTCATGGCTGAATTAGTGATTGAAATGAACTAATTACAATCCTGAGCTGCTGTCCTGCCTGGTCTCCTGTTCAGTCTCTGTTACCACGCAGAGCCAAGTCAAGCATGTACTGAATAAACAGTGAAGCCACATGTAGCAGGAACTGACGCTGAGAAGAAAACTGATTGATGAGCTTTCGCACCCTTCAGCACCGAGACGCACTTACATAACACACTGCGTGCTATTGCCATGGAACATCAAGTCATCTCTTCAGACTCCACAGATGAGCCACATGGTGTTGGCTGCTTGAAATTCTTCAGGAGACAGAGAAAGAAAATAAAGTGAACAAATAGGAGGACACCCCGCCTCCCTGATTTATTCATACTTTTAATATTGTTGAATATTACAGTTAAGAAATTCTGATAATTAACCACGCATCTACAAACTCCCCTAAAAAATTATATAAAGTAGTATCAGTTGTTTAAATGAATTGTGTTGAAACTGTGTAAAACTTAAAAGCCCGTCTGCTGAACTTGGACATAAACCCATGACCTTTTCGATGTGAAGCAACAGAACAAACTGTTGATCCACTATCTAATCTACAAGAAAGCCATTAATATAAGGTATACCATATAGTTACACATTTTTGCAACTGTGGTCCTCAAAGGTCTGGGGACTGTTATCGACTAAAGACATCAGAGATATGTTATCCACAAGAGGCTCAGTTACAATGCATCTTTTGACCATGCGGTGGTGGTAATGCATCAGTCAGTTTAACAAGCTCCAATATAGAGAGAAGAAGACCGTCTTTTTCTCTGCGTTAGCTGCAGCTAAAAGTATGGAGAAGTTTTTTTTAAACACTAAAAATGAAGATGAACAACGTGTGGTGTTAGGTGTAATTCCGACTTCATCAAACACAGCTTTGTAAATGGAAGTACTTTTAAGCAAGTCATTGGATGAGGTGGAAATGGTTTATTATTTAATACAAATCGAACTGTGAGTCAGGTCAATTAAACCTATATAGTGGAGCACTTCGTACTACTCAAGGTCAAAAAGGTTCAGAACTTCATGGTTTAAACCAAGAGTTTAGCCTCAGAGTTCACATGTGAAAACCACTGAAGAACTGAATGTTGAGGTTGTTTTCAGCTGAGCTCCACGCTGCTGATGTGAGGAGCAGCTTGTGGACTGCAGTCCTCTGGTCATAACCCATCCATGTTGCGTCACTTTAGATCTTAGGTGTTGCATACATTTGCATACATTACATACATGTAAAAGGCTGCGTAGCAACGAAAAGCACCTGATGGTGTGGAATTAGTATTCACTGCATGTCAGGTGCTTCAGTGAGATATTTGAAGGGCCGGAGCAGACGTCGTGCAACTCCTCAGCACAACAGAGTGAGTGTTAGAGGCGAGGGCAGGCGTCAGCTCTTCTACTACAGCATCGTTGTATCAGCACCTGAGTCGCATGAGTAAATATGTTAATGAAGTCACACGAATGCAACAGCATTTTCTTTAAAAGTCTCCAGTGAAAGATTTCATATTTGACAGTGACGCATTTCTCGGCCTTTGCCAACATTAATTATACAGGCGACTTTCAGCACTTTGGCCCTCAGATTAGATGTAACTGTGCAGCACACTGTCAGCAATCATAGCTGTCACTGTCGCAGTCCCAGGCCACGGTGTACAGACAGACAGATCCAGATCTGCTCTCCAACAAATACCTTGCTTTACAGTATCAATGAAGTACAACTATCATTTTGTCTAATGTTAGCAGGACTGCAAATAATGCTTATTTTTATCACCATTTTTGTTTGCCATGCAGTAGTTATTTGGACGATAACATTTCCACAAAATACATTTAAAAATTTTAATAATTTCCAACACCGAATAATGGAATAATGGTGTCCTGAAATTAAAAACCAAATATTCATATTTCTGTCATAGAGTATATTCCAACACCTGGCTCAATGCCGAGAAAATGGTAATGTGAGGAGTTTTACAATTTTTTAATCCAAAGAATCGTGCGCCAATTATGTAATAAATGGTGGAACAAGAAAAAGTACACGTGCAACATGTGCAAAAATAAATATATATGCAACAATGTTATTTTGTGTTTTGGATCATCTTACCTTTCCACTGGGGGCAGACCTACACAGCACAGATTTATTTTGATCAGTTATGGCTAAGGCTGTCAAAGATTATTGATTTTAATAGGATCAATCATAGATCGTATCTTTAGACTTATCCAAATTAGTCATGGTTAACTAAGATAAATTAACATTATATGAAAAACAAACTGTTTTGCCGTATATTGCTGGGGAAAAAAAGGCAAAATACAGTTGTTTCGCACCTTTTTTCTAAATCTGTGACTAATCCACATGAAAGAATTTTTAACAGGAAAAAACATAGTCTCACTGGTCTCAACTGTCGGTCTGTTAGGGATAAAAATAAGATGAAATCTTCACTGTTGAGGTTAATGACCACCTTGTGACTAAGCATTTGTTTGAGCACTTAACAGTTAACAGTACAATGCGCAGGTAGTTAGAGAGAGCTTTTGTTTGTTATGCAATAAGTGGAAAACTTAATTACTGTCACAGCACCTGCTGCAGTCACGTCATGCCACTCTGTCTGCTGTGTCCAGATGACAGAGATAAATTCCTGAACAAATCCATTTATCTGGTGAACTTCTGTTGTCATGCATCACTGTGTTAGGGACCGACCGCTGTATGTCAGAGCTGTGGCATCAGTCCTTCCACTGTCTTTTTCTTTGTTGTCAGTGTTTCTGCAAACCACTTGTTGTGCATGTACTCCGCCTGGGTATTCACAATCAGTGTACTTAGAGTTGCTCACCATGTTGATCCAGGGCTTGTAGTTTTAGTTTGAAAAATAGGTGCCATTGAAGAATGCACACAGGGTGACGGGTAAGGAATCACTTAAGGCCTGTTTTTTTCTTAGGGGTCGTCACACCAATAGTGTTCTTATTGACATAGCAAAGCATATTTACGTCTGACGTGTGTTGCCCAATTTTTTGTTTATCTTTCTATTACTTGTCAAGTTGTCTCGTACCATTTTTTGTACTAGTAAGTATTGCAAACTAGCACAAGTTGACTTTCATGTATAAAATGTAAACATCGCTTTGTCTTTTCACGGTTTCATGGTTACGTCGTCATCTTCAATACATTTCTTAAGATAGTCTTGTACTATTTTTCCGATGCACGGGAACTGGTTGGCTAGCAGAGTGGACAACTACATCATCATGCAGCACTATGCAGTGAAGGCGGAGTTGTTTGCCCTACAAGGCTGGATACATTCACTTTTTTTGTGTTATTTTTTGCGAACTTCATTATGGCTCCCAAGTGTTTT